TTATGGAATTTTTCAGAATAACTGAAATATCACATAAAGTAGCCATACCCTCCACAATGTGGCAATTCCCTCTTCTTTCGTTATTCTTGACAAAGCATTAAACACATTGGTGTACCCTCTCTGTTGTTCTTTTGGTAACCTGGAATATTGCAACATGTGTATTGCAGGCTTATTTGGGTTTCCTCTAACAGACATGCTGAAACTGTCGGTCTGATCAGCATGAATGGCAAAATTTGTCTGGACTGGTAAAAAAATTGGACTCGGTGGGTCCAAAAGACCGACAAGAGTTTTAAGAGCTGCAATTTTGAATTTACAGTCATCATTCGACATACATCACTTATAAAATTATATAAGACCCAAAGTGTTTTTTCACTTCCATTTCAAACCTGTCACATTCACAAATAAAGTAAGCCAGTCATTACTGCCAGTCCAAATGTCCGACCATTCTGAAAAGTTCTCAGCATGTCTGCTCTCACTCGCTGTCTCTTTTTTTCTCCTCCCTCACTCCTTCCGCTACAATCATATTCTTCTTTACATAACAATGTAGAATTGAAAGCAACAAAAGACCTGGTAAGTTATTCTCATGAAAAGTTAAAATTTTAAAAGAAATTAAATTCACCTGCACACATCTTAGTGTATGTATGCGTGTGTATGTATGTGTGTGTACTTTCACGTGTGCGAGTGCACATATTTAGTGTTTCTAAATATCAGGGATGAGACTGCTAGTTAGTGAAAAATTCTGAAAAAAATAGCATGAGGCCCTCTGTATCTGGCTCAAAAATAATACTTTTGGCTCCCTTAAAGTTGGAAATCTGCTGCACTAGTGGGCTTCATTTGGTCTTAAAGTGCAATTTAAAAACACAAATGATCTTAAAACATGATCTTAAAACATGTGTAAGACCAGACCTCCCCTTACACATTCTCCTATTGTGAGCAGAGGTGTCCTCTATTGTGAGGGAAGGTGTCCCCTTGTGAAGGGAGGAAACTGCTTGACCACTTAAATAAATGTTAGATCATTTTTGATCTTAAAAGCAGATTCAGTCCATTTTAAGACTTCTGTTGTAATGATTAAGATTGTGTAAGATCACTTGTGAACTTAAATTGCACTTTAAGACCATGTCTAGCCCACTAGTGCTGATACTAGTGGGAAAAATTTCATAACAAAAAAATTAATCCCCTTGGGAGTGAAATGGTTTTGAGCATCAAGTTTTTGTAAGGCCCTGGTGCAACATGCACACATGCATTCGATCACGTGTGCACAAACTCACACAAACTTACCTGCCATCAGCACACATTCGTATGAGGGAAATCTCAGCGGGGGTTCCAACGACTGCCCCACAACCACCAGCAACAAGACCAATAGCCAACAAAGAAGCAAAATTAGGATTTTCCCCCTGGTTCCTGTGAAAGACAAGAAAACACTTTCATCCACAAATGTCCCTGTCTAAAATTCACTGATTTGATGCTATGATTTAGGCCCTGTTTAAAACCAAGTTGAATCCATGGACTCAATGATCTGCAGATCAAATATGGCAGACTTACTTGAAAGTATGCCTGTAATCTCTGTGGGGAATGCATTACTGGATTAAGCGTTACTCTTTTAAGTGGGTCGTCCATATTTGATCCGCAGATCAGTTAGTCCACAAATCAGCTTGGTTCTGAACAGGCCCTTAGACGATGTTGCCAACTTTTTACAATGACTCAGGCTGTTAACAGTAAGAACAAAAAAAAAAGTCATGAAAATGCATTCTCACAACTGGAAGTTCCAATAATGTTTTTTATCAACGTATCTTACGGCACATTCAGAACAGCAGACTAACAAATCTGAGGATCAAATATGGTCAGTACACATGAATGCAATGTCAATAGTGGGTCACAACATTTGACCAGGGTATCTGTTAGTCCGCTGTTCTGAATACACTCTCAGTTTCATTATTTTAACTGAATGCAAATTGACCTTACCTAGCCCTGACCCTATCCAAGAGAGTAGTATAGATCCCAAGCCTGGTAGTAGTGTATGTTGCCTGCCTTAGCAACCCTGCTGAAAGACTGCAGATCAAAAGAGAGAGAACTAATAAATCAAAATTGTATTAATATTATCCTTGATGTCATATCAATGTCTGACAGTATATATCTGTCAATAATGCTATTATTTCGTATGTCTATGTGTGTCTGCATGTCTATCCATCTGCCTGGTCAATTACCTCTCAGCATCTCTGCCCAAATGTGTGAGTGTGTATGTGTCTGTCTATCTGTCACCTTGTCAGTCTGTCTGATTGTCTATCTGTCACCTTGGCAGTCTGTCAACTTGTCTATCTGTCACCTTGTCAGTCTGTCTGATTGTCTATCTGTCAATAATGTTATCATTTCGTATGTCTGTATCTGTCTGCATGTCTACCCATTTGTCTGTTCAACTATCTCTCAGCACTTCAGCATAGCTTACCCTGTCTGTCTGTCTAACAGCCTGTCTCAAGAGAGAAAGTGTACTTACCCAGCAAACAAGCCATTAAATCCTTCCTTCACATAGATGGCCCTGATGGCGTCAAAGGAACTGTTGTAGAGCCTAGGCGCCCCTCCTTCTCCTAGAATATAATGTGATATCCGTACTTGGCTTGACTAGACACCAAAGCTGACAAACATACAGAAAAATTCGGGTAGTCAATTACTTATGTCTCTTCGTAGAAACAGGAGCACAGATACACTAATACAGAAAGACACACACACACACACACACACACACACACACACACACTGACTGTGACTTACACCAATGCCAGTGCACATTTTTGGTGAAATGCGTTATTATATAGGCTAGCTAATTTAATCAAACAAGCAGTACTTAGTTTTTCTATGTACAATGTTCTGGGAAACTTACGCACCACTTAATTGCAATCTGTTCTTCACCACATCCAAGGGTTGCACAAAGCATGTTGCCAGCATGCTGAAAGGCAATGGAATATTATGTTTGCACTTTTTATAAACATTGTAACTTAAAATCATTAAAAGCTAAATGTGTTTATATGGATTGAGGTTGCAGCCTGCAACATGTAGGGTACTGTAAGCATGGCATGTTTTGAGGGTCAAATGACAATGCTAATTATTTTATTTTGAGTTTTTATTGTATGTTCTTTGTTCAGAAATCTTGCATGATAGGGAATATAAACAAGCTAGAAAGGGTGTANTCAAAAAATTTTCCAAGGCTTAAGGGGGGCGCACCCCCCTTAACAACCCCCCCACGCACGCTACGTGTGCGTTAAGATTTTTCTTCGAAAAATCTTTCAGACTTTTTTATCAAAACCAAATCTCATGCCTGCAGATATGAGTGTTTTCTGCAGAAAAGTGGAAGTTTTTTTGTTTTTTTTGTTTTCTCTCTCTAATGATTCCTGAGATTCATTAAGTTTAGGTATTGGGTCCCATGATAAATGTTCAGTTTTTTTTTTTTTTTTTTTTTTTTTTTTTAACTCCGGCTTATGTCTGTGCCTTAAGATAAACCAGTCACCTCTGTATGACTGACCCGGATGTGTCTTGCCCATGATCATCATTGCCTTATATCAGGTGGTAGATTTATGTGTGTCTGTTCAACAGGTGCTAGTCAAATAATTTATCCATTATATAAGTACAGGTACCTCATACAGGCTGAGGGACACCTGGTGAAGAAGACTGTATTGCCACCTATTTCCTCTTCTGCCTTTATGCCAAGTAGCGTTATGAAGGGGGGGGGGGGGGGGGTTACCATATCCCCCTACCCCACCCTTAAAAGAGCTACATGCTAGGCACTTGTATTTAAAAGTATATAGTTTTAAAGGTTTTCTTTAAGAACTGAAGAATTAATTCAGTATCTGGCACACAGTTATCATGATATAAGTCTATATATATGCAGCAGGTGGTCAGAGGGGAGTGAACGCTATCTACCAGTATCCTGCTAGTGTGTACCTGGTCAATGTAACCTGATCTGTCTGATCTTCAGTCTACAGTGCCAGCTGTAATATATACCTGCCTCTGCTGGTCTACCTGTACATTCCATTGCATATATGTCCTACCTGTACATTCCATTGCATATATGCCCCTTACTGATGGAGAGGGTTGCTGTGCTGGCTGTCATAGAAGTCGAGGGTTCTTCAGTGATATCTGAAAATTGTTGTATTTTTTTTCCTTTTCTTTGCCAGATGCCCTGATGAGTTTAGCCATTATATCAAGGATAAAGTTTGGCAAAAAATTGAGTAAAGATCCAATTATCTTAAGCTTAACTTGAATTTTGGGGGATGGATTTTTTTCTCTTAATGCCTGGATGATTAAAGCAAAATCATAATGTCGAATCAAATCAAGGACAAACTTTGTCAAAAATTATTTAGACTTTGACATTTTCTTCAGCCGTCTAGAATTTTTTTATATAAATAAGCAGTTGACAAAGGTTGGCTGTACTACAATGAATATGGAATCAAGTTGTACATACAATACTGACACAAATTGTGCAGGGTTGAGCACAGGCTTATTGTACAGTTTGTGTTGGAGGTTGAGTGATACCTGCTTCCGTATGACCTAGATTTTTATGATTTATGTCCAGTAAGCCTACTTGTTGCAGTGAATTGCCCCTAAAACTCCCCTTGCCTGGAATACATCTAATTGAAAATGGTGAAATTAAGTTCATTTTCATTTAATGAGTATGGTAAGAATATCAGTGTGAAGTTTCAGTTTTACTTTGGATTCACTTTTGATTTTGGAAGGATGCTTTTGAATTTTTGCAATAAAGAAGTATTTAGTGAATGCTAGTTCACTACTTATTTGAGGTCAGGGCTAGCTGAGGAATTGTTAACCAAATGCTAAAAAGGGCAACTTGCTTTGGCTTACAGATTAAGAAACAGAAAAAACTTTTTACGTCCTGTTTTATGTCAGGTGAACCTGTGGTGCTGAATAAATTCCTTGACCTATATAATAATTACATTGGTGCGATCCCCATTCAGTGTTTGTGGCCAAAGCATGTGTTGACTACCCCACACCAGTATCTTTCTGCACTTTGAAAGATCTGTGACAATTTACACCATTCGTTCATTCCTTCCTTTATAGATTAAAATATTTGCATGGTTTAACTTTTTAAGTAAAATTCAGCAATTTTATGAAATAAAAAAAATCTTTTCTCTATAAAAAGTCAATGTATTTAACCCATATTTATTTCAAACATGACATATAGTATTAGGTCTTGAAATATAAACAGTAAGATATGATTGTTACATTTATAATTGCTATTATTGCAGATTTGGCCGTATTGGTCGTCTCGTGCTACGAGCTGCCCTCAAGAAAGGAACAGTCAATGTAGTAGCTGTCAACGATCCTTTCATTGCTCTGGATTACATGGTGAGTGGCCCTTCTCCATCTGATAACAGTTAACATGGTAATACATAAATGGGGAACCTACAACGATTACCTTAGTTAAGAACACAGCAGTTGGGGGCAGCTCTCATGAACTTTCAGTGATATAATCGAGAGTGAAAAAAAAAAGGTGTTTTCTTTTATGTTTACCTGGGCCCCGTATCTCGAAAGGATCTCGTATTTCGAATAGCGATATCACATAGAGGCTACAAGGTATTATATGGGGCGAGTATGGGCAAGTTATGGAATCGAGACGCTTGCGCACGGTCGCAATGCGCGATGCTTTCGAGATACAGGGCCCTGGATAAATTAATTTTGCTTCATGGTCTGTTTGGTCTGTAACCCATGTGGTAGTCATTATTACTGGTCTTTCCCCCTAGGTGTACATGTTTAAGTACGACTCCACCCATGGTCGGTACCCAGAAGAAGTGAAGGCAGAAGGCGGCAAACTGGTGGTGGATGGCCACGCCATTACTGTATTCCAAGAGTAAGTTTACAGCTCTAGTAGTAGTAGCAGCAGTAGCAGTAGTAGCAGCAGCAGCAGCAGTTAGTAGTAGTACAGGTGGTAGCCATGGGGGTTTGAGGGGTTCGAAAGAACTGCCCCTTTTGCGGGGGGAAAAGGTCCACAATGGGTAAAATTTGATCTAGCTAAAGGGTCCACTTTTTCAGAGAAAGACACCCCCGCCCCTTTGAAATTGCTGGCTACAGTTTGTAGTAGCACTAGTAGTAGCAGCAGTAGTTATTACAGTAGCAGCAGCAGTATAGCAGTAACACATAACGTAGGAAATGTGTATTGCTGGCAGTAATGGATAATATGCATTCTGTATATTTATAGTTCCCGCGTGGCAGTGGATGGTATATGTTACATGATACGAGATATAACCTCAAGCAGGAGAGTTTGTTTGATGTACAGCTCATAAGGTGTGAAGTAATTAAGACCTCACAACGACCATAAAAGTAGTGAAGTAGTAGCAGTTAATGTAGAACTATTTCCAGTCCTTTATAAATGATTTAATGAAAAGTTGTTGATTAGATGTTTTTTATAATCTTTCAGGAGAGAGCCTGAAAAAATTATGTGGGGGAGTGCTGGAGCCGAGTATGTAGTAGAATCCACGGGTGTTTTCACCACTGTGGAAAAGGCAATGGTAGGTAGAGTATAACTTGTGATTACTTGGTTAGCGTCTGGAAAATACAGCAACATTCAAACTGAAATCGTATTGAAGTAACCTCATGAATCTGACTGTTTTATCACAACAACCAAAGAATCTGTTTCACAAACAGACAAGAGTAGTGGACCCGTAATGGGGTCTGAATCCAAAGAAACATTATTTAATCTGTATCCTCTTTTTAGTTGTGTCCGCGCCCCCACACATATACAAATTTGCTAGGAATTAATTAAGTACCAGTCTCTGTAAGAATCAGAAAAATAACATAGGGGCATTGGAACATGACCCTCCCAGATTTTGTTTTCTTTTAATTTATTGTGAAGAACTATGCTAAAAACTAACAAATTGAGCCCGAAAAGTTGCATATTTAAAATAATTTATTTTTTAGAGCGTTTTATAGTTAAGCCTGAATTTTTTCTCCCATATGCTTTTCTATATAAAATGTTCAGGTAACCCCATATTCACTGACAAATAACTCGTATGGCCGACGTAGTTATGTAAGATGGATATACAAGATGTTTACAGCATATATTCAGGTACCAAAAAGTGAAATAAAATTTTTTTCAAAACATAAAATGATTAAATTACATTAAAAACAATCAACGCTAGAACTACTCGAAAAAGACCATCTGCGCATGCGCAGTAGCGGTGACTGCTAAACTACGAACTCAATCAGATGTAAATAAATTGAATTTAGGTTATTTATCTCATGAAATGGATATTTTTTTGGATAAATAACACTTGTCTTCTGGAGCATTCATTGTTTGGATTGTTTTTATGCCGACTGGTGTGTAGTATTTGTTTCCGCACATCGTTTTTTTATATACAACATAACTAATTTCATCCAAGATGGCGGGAGCTCTGATTGCCGTCGGTTTCCTATGTGGAAGGAGAATGCACACAGTTATTAATTTACGGCATGATATGCAGTTTTTCATAAATTTCCCACAAGAAAGGACTGGTAGAACTTTATGGTCGTAAATAATCGGCACTACTAACTACGTATATCAAGAAAACTACCAGGTACACGTACCACTGTGAAAAACTCGTCTTCTCCCTCACGTGCATTTGCCGTTAATATCCGATATAATCGACAAATAAGTAAAGCACTGTCAGTTACTTTTCTCTAAATTACAGTCAGTGTCAACTTTGATACAGGTTTTCTAATAAAGTTTCGATGTTCAACGTGAGTTTGTGTTTTACGGCTATTTACTGCTTGAGTATGGTCTACCTCCAATTTAAAACAGCGCCCTGTAAGGCCCGTCGTGCCCTCTCAGGTACCGTTACTTGAAGTCGATAACAGAACAGATTACTTGAATACTTAATATATATAGTAGAAATTGGTACTCATACAAGTGGAAGAGTTTCTAGTTCTTCACAACCAGGATTCTAAATAAAAAAACTTGTAAAACAAAATAGACATGTAAAAGATATCTATATTCTTATGTGGTGCCTTAAGTGCTACCTCAAGGCGCCTTACAATAATATAACTAAAATCATTAAAATCACTACTATATTTAAATCTGAAACACTTATTTAAAATTAACACTACCAGGCCTACCCAACTACCAGACTCGGCACCTACGGATCCAGAATAAACCGGTATATCAGACTACACTACCCGTTTTCAAGGTGTGTGTCAGATCGCATTACAGAGTATCATACCCCATCACAAATTTTGTAAGCCTACCTGTCATCCGGGTATCGCGCATCGTTTTCGCCAAGTAGGAGTCGTATGAATACAACAATATGGTGACAGACGACTCCCTCAATCAGGGGGTGGAAACGCGCTACTTTTATGATTAAGACGAGCCTAGCCGTCAATACCGGTTATTGTTTTGTGACCTTGATGAACAATTAGGTTTGGTCGTTGCGGCACGCATGAACAGTAGTTGAACTACCACACCTGGGTCTTTTGTTTTTGACAACTGTTCACTCGTCATCGAGGCGCTTGTTCAAGACTACAGGCTGATATCTACTAGTACTACCAGTCGCTTCATTAGTAACGTTCCCACAATACTTAGTTTTTTTTTGTCTGTGCGTACATACCCTGAAAAAGGCCAGCCTCGCTGACGAGAACAATGGACGTTTCTCACCCCTCTCTAGGATTACCCCTGCCCTCAATATCGTCCATCCCGGTAGTCATGAAAATATTTAACCCCCCGACAGAATATGCTTCTGCTATCAAAATTAGGTCTACTTTTCTAAATTAATATATCAGTTTGCAAGTTCTTATTTACAAAACATCATTGGCTATGTCCGAACCTAAATTTTATGTTAAAAATTGCGGTATTGTCAGATTTTAGCATAAACAGGGAAAATTGCAGCAGCGCATGAATCTAGATGAGATGCACTACTTTCCAACCCTGCTTAGGATCATTGCTATCACATCGCGCACCAGGCAAAATCGGTGTGGTGGCTGACACTCTGTAATGCGATCTGACACACACCTTGAAAACGGGTAGTGTGGTCTGATAAACCGGTTTATTCTGGATCCGTAGGTGCAGAGTCTGGTAGTTGGGTAGGCCTGACTACTAAAACATTATATATATATATATATATATATATATATATATATATATATATATATATATATATATATATATATATATATATATATATACCTATGAGATATAGAGGGATTTAAAACTGTCAAAGTCGTCTGCTTTTCTAATAAAATTTGGTAAGGCGTTCCATAATTTGGGGGCATAGATTATAAAAGCCCGATCTCCATAACTTTTGAGGCACCCCTTCTCTAAAATAGACTGTTCTGAAATAAGGTCATTCTCAGTATTATAATGTGTGGACCGCCATGGTGAGGTAAAACAGATAGGATCAGATAAATATAATGGTCCTTGTGTTTGTATCGCCTTAAAATTAACACAAAGTACAAGCAGCCAGTATTATCCTTTCAGAATGGGAGTGATATGGTGTGTACTATTGCACTTTATTTGACAAACTAGTCTTGCAGCTCAGTTTTTCTCGGAAAGATATAGCAGTACATTAGATTTTCAGTCACAAAAAAATATTTATGAGAAAACAAGATAGCATTACTTTACGAATTGCTTTATAAGCCTTGATAATCATGCTATTTGTATTAAAGACTCGCTTAATCAAGTCCTGCCTAGTATAATGCTCCAACAGTTTTGATATCATAAAGTCTGTGTTATCCATAAATTTTTCTCATATTTCTTTACTGAAAACTAGCAGGTGACCTAACTTTACTCTTTACATTAAAAATTGTAAATAGTAACTTAAATAGGGGAAATTATCATAATGATACTTTCTACCTGATTGTTACATGCCAAATTAGTCCTCAGTGCTGAGGCAGATGTTGGACTCGTCAAAATGTATGATCATGCATGATTCTCGGGACAAAATGCATCAAATACTATCATGTTGAGGCACCCTTAACATTGATAACTGCTTTGCTTTGATATCACATTTCTAATAGTGTAGCTGGTTACCAATGGACTTTACCTACAACAAATATTCTTACAAATAAGTTGTATACCAAAAGAAAATTAGCAAAATTAATAAATTATGAACATCTTAGGGCAAGGAGCATGAGGGAAAATATATATTGGTATTTTAAGTTTGTAACAAAAATGCTGAACACCATAATAAATATTCATATAATTTACTACTATGCAGAGGATATGCCTCATTTTCTTTCAAATAAGAAAGACTAAAAACAAGTTTTATTTCACTGTGACTTGTTTAAAATATATTCATATACAATTAAAAGAATCAAATAAAAATGTTAACTAATCTGGGGTGGGCACTGCTAAATCCATGCACATTATAGATAGTAGTTTATGAATAAGGGATTTTTTTCCTGGACAGTGGTAGAAAGTCCACAAGAGATGGAAACTGAAGCTGAGACTGGCAGGAGATATTTCTCAACTATTGGATGTCAACCAAAAGAATACCGCCACATTGCTGTTATTGTATGACCCTGAAAGATTAACACCCATAGTCCCATTGTGAAAATTCATCATTTTAAAGTTTTTTTAAAGATCACAATATATTTACCTGTGTGCTTTTGACTTAATCAAGTTATTTAGCAGGACACAAGTACAAGATTTGTATTTTAATCCATTTTTAAAGCAGAAATAGGGAAATATGGAAAATTTGCTATTTGGTTGATGCCATCTTGGATTGTGAATTTTAAAATTTGCACATTTTTTTTAATGTTTGAAAAAATATAAAAAAAAAATTAACTCAAAACATTCACTTATAATGTATTACAATATTAGGTGGCTTTGGCCAGTCTATGAAAAATGCATTTGAAAATGGCAAAATTTGGGCATTTTAGCTAAAATGTGAAATTTTTGAAATCTGCCATTTTAAGAGTTTTTTTTTCTAATTTTTTAGGACTGTTTAAAATATTAAGTAATATGCTTTTGACTAAATCAAGATATAATATTTAGCAGGATACAAAAATGAAATGTGTGTTTTTATCCATGCTTGTTTAGTTTAAAGCAGAAATAGGGACATTTTGCCATTTGATTGCCGCCATCTTGGATTAAGAATTTTAAAATTTGAATAACTTTTTGAAAAATGTGTTTGAAAAAAATTTTATTTTTGATTATAAAAGGACAGTACATGTACTTTCTTATATAATGTATGGTGATAATAGATGGCTTTGGCCAGTCTATGAAAAGTATATTTTAAAATGGCAAATTTGGGCATTTTAGCAAAAATTTGAATTTTTGAAAATTCCCCATTTTTGAAGTTATTTTTCTAATTTTTAAAGGGCAGCAAAAATTATATTTTTTATGTTTTTCACTTAATCAAGATTTAGGATTTAGCAACATACAAATAAAAAATATGTGTTTAACCATGTTTGCTATTTTTTATATACACAAATATGTAAAATGTGCAATTTGGTTGCCGCCATCTTGGATTAAGAATTTTAAAATTTGAATAATTTTTTGAAAAATGTGTTTGAAAAAAATTTTATTTTTGATTATAAAAGGACNACAAAAAGTCTCATCCTTGTCCTCTGACATGCACAGAATTGTTGTTTTAAGCAGCTCCCATCAACTGCTGTCTTGCTGTCTTTGGAAAGAATGAATTTGTTGCAAAAAATTCAGTTTTATACTAATGGAAATAGTAAAAAAAAAAAAACTTACTGTTATTATATAATGTTTTTTATATCCAGTAATGCTTCCTGCACAACAAACTGCCTGGCTCCCGTAGCCAAGGTGCTTAACGACAAGTTTGGCATTGTGGAGGGACTGATGACCACTGTCCACGCCTACACAGCCACACAGAAGACCGTGGATGGACCAAGTGCCAAGGTGAGTGTTTTGTGGATGGTCTGGTCCAGATGTCTAGTCCTAGGCGTGGCATGTGTGTAGATTGTGTTGGAAGGTATAGAAAATGCAACAGAGAAGACAGATGTGACACATTTTAAGATTGTGTTCTTTGATTTAAAAAATGCGGTAGAGAAGGCAGTTGTGACATATTTAGGTTTTGTTGGCTCTAGAGAAGACAGCTGTGACGTATTTAGATTGTGCTAGAGAGGACAGCAGTGACATACCAATATATTGTTATTACAGGACTGGCGTGGTGGACGTACAGCTGCTACAAACATCATCCCCTCTTCCACTGGTGCTGCCAAGGCTGTAGGCAAAGTTATCCCAGAACTCAATGGGTAACAGTTTATTATTATTAATTATTATTATTATTATTAATCTTCTTATTTTATTTATTTATTTATTTATTTATTTATTTTGGAGGGGGGCATATACATTTTTTTCTTATCAAGGAAATATTTTCTGTTTATAAGATTACAGTACAAAATGTGATTGTTTTCTGAAACAAAATAGCTAGGCCTGCTGGCCTTTGAAAGCCTAAGGCTCGGTGCAAAAATTAAGTTCTACGTGTATTATTTTTATGTAATTGTTCCTTTCTGGTTTCCAGTAAACTGACAGGTATGGCATTCCGTGTGCCCGTGGCCAATGTTTCAGTTGTGGACCTGACGTGCCGCCTGAAGGCAGGGGTAAGTGCTGGATGGGATACAGTTAAAACTCGAAAATATAGTCGATCTTGAAAATTTTGTCAGAATACAATTCTATTCCAACGTTATTTTTTTAACTTTGAAAATTTTGTCAAACTTGAAAATAGGCTTCTTGGTAATTTTGAGAAGTTTGTCACCTTAAATGGCTCCGTGGGATTCACACATTCAAAAATATTTATTTTTTAGTTTTTAAGTGATGAGTTACCTCATATGTAAAGGGAGGATACTCATTACCAGTGATTTATCTTGGCCAGAGTTGACTAAAACCTCAAGTGTTTCACTTAAGACCAAATTTCGACACGAATTCTATTTTGAGACCAGCACCAGAGAGCGATTCAGAAATGAAAGCCTGTAGCCAGCAATTTCAAAAGGGGGGTTCTTTTTCTGTAAAAGAAATTGGACCTTTTACAATGAAACGTTTGTGTACTTCGATCAAATTTTAGCCAGAATAGAGCTTTTCCCTGACAAAAAGGGCAGATCTTTCTAACCCCCAGGAACCCCTCCCCCACATCCCCACCCCATCCTTCCCCACCCCCACTGCCCCCAGGCTACAGGCCTGGAAAGCTACAAAAACTGTATTAAACACATACTTTATCAGAATATGTACGTTTATAAACCTTGAAATCAAATTTATTTTGTAATGACAGGCTCCATATGCTGACATCTGTGCTGCCATGAAGGAGGCTTCGGAGGGTTCACTGAAGGGTGTGCTAGGCTACACCGAAGACATGGTTGTCAACTCCGATTTCAATGGAGACGAGCGCAGCAGCATTTTCGATGCCAAGGCTGGAATCTCCCTGAATGACAACTTTGTCAAGGTCGTCTCCTGGTAAGTAGGGGTGAAAGAGGGAGTTATGGGAATAGTCAGGGAAAGCCTAGTATGTGTCTCTTGGCATTGAGTGCCTGTGTGACGGGAATGCTAGTCCTAGGCATGGAAGTCCAGGGCCCCTTATTTTTAGTACAGGTTAGGGTTAGACGAAGTATTGGGGTTAGTATGTGGGTGAATGACACCTGTACAAAGTAATGTGGAATGGACTACGGTTCCAAGCGAACTGCCATTTCTGTCACACTGAAATCCTAAGAAATTATCTCTGCGTCCTACTGAAAATAAAAGTTCCTAAAATTCATTGGTCATTTTTCAGGTACGACAACGAGTTTGGATACAGCTGCCGAGTGGTGGACCTCCTAGCATACATCAACAGCAAGAAATGAACCCCTCGAGCCGTCACCTCCAAGATTTAGACATTTCTCAGTCATTTTATTTCACAGCCCTTCGCAAATGGGACCCAGCGCCAAGGAATTTTGAGATCTTTTTTTTCTGCTACCACAGATTTTTCTACATGGTAACAGAAAACCAGCCACTCCTGTTCTGCCAATATTGTGAAAGCGTGAATTCAGTGTTTTTTTATTATTATTATTATTATTATTTTCTTGTGCCATCTTCATTTGTTTATTTCAGTTGACTTTTTAAAAGAAGGGTTGTAGATAATAGCCTGTAGAAATTTTTGTCTTGTCTTGTCTCAATTATTACCCTTTTTTTCCCAACCATTAACTTAGAATTTTGGATTGTTACCACAAATATCGTGGACTCTAAAAAGGTAACTGCTGGACACCATCGCTTGACTTCTAGAAATGCACTACTGCATAATACTAAGACCAAATCGGGTGCTGCCATCTACTTGTATACTTAAACTTTGTCACAATGAATTAAGCAAAATATATATTATAAAGCATATTGCCAGTAATACATTGGAGATATTGGATCAGGAAATTCCTGGAAGATCTTTCCCTTTTATTGATTCAGTAAGACAGTAAATATTTGTATCACAATAATTGTCCATGTTAGGTCTGAAAGACCCGTACCTGTTATCAGTTGAAATTGTTTGCACTGAGAGTGAAAGGGTTTGAATAGATTTAATAGAGATACTTTGTAGGAGTTGAACAAAGTTGTTTTTTGGTTTTGTTTTTTCAAACCGTAGCTAACAGTGTAATTATTGAAGTTAATGTGTGCGTTGGTTGGTCTTTCCACAGGCACCAAACGATACTGGAGGGGAACTGGCTTAAAACTCATTAAAATGTTTTAAACATTTTGACTCGTTGTTTGTTGATTTGATGAACGAGAATGTCTTACTCTTTGTTGAAGCTGAATGTTTCTGGTTCAAAATTAGAAATGAGAACTTCAAAACGGGTTTATAGGTCGGAATTTTCTCAACACTTTTGGACAGGGCATAACTCTGTGATACAAAAAAATGCTATATAAGCGCACACTCCTGCATATAACATAAATTTGATTAAGGATGTAATTAAATTGGGGTTCAAATGGTTAGAGAATAATTAACGTCTCAACTCAACCTATGCTCGCATTGGCAACACGGATATTTCTTCGGGTAATTTCGTCTAATTCCGTACCACGTGGCAGGCGTGAGATCGCCTAATGTTGGTCGAATGAGATATGAACTTTTTACAATAGATATATTCTAAAAATTGATTAACCTACACAATATGGTCGACGTTTTATCGTAAATTTGCCTCAATCCCGTCTTCCTTTGCCTCATTTTATGCCGATTGATCAACAGGCAGTGAATGATTGTCTATGTTTTGATTTTTGACATCGTTACTAAACACAGTAACACACCAGGCCAGTTTATATATACATAACTTAATGACCCCTATTGATCTTGGACCAGGTTGCCAAAATACAGGTAGGTAGGCCCCGGGATCAATCGTCAATACCCGCTGCCACAGCCGGCACGATTAAATTTGTGTAATGATCCGTGTATTCTTAGTATTACCAAGACCGAGAATATTGGTCAAATATGAGTCGTGTTAAATTTATGGTCGTCTAACAATATGGCGTAGTTTTTTGTGTGGTATTTTAACTTTTCACCGTTTCTTGTTTATTTGGGAGGGAGGAGGCTGAGTTCTTGGTTCAAAAAGGTCTTAATATAAATTCAGCAATTCTTATTTTCTGTTTTCTGGAGTTCCTGGTTCGAAAGTAAGTGATCTCTTCAAACAAACGCATGATTTTAAGAATTTCAAATATAACCCCACCCCAAGCCCTACGATGGACAATATCATAAAAAGGCCCAAAAGACAAGTTTTTTATTTGTTTGTTTGAGATGAAAAAATAAGAAAGCCACCAAAATGTTGCGTCCGACTTATAAGGATGTCAAAACTAAATTCCTAAAACCGTTAACTGATTTTAAAGAAATTATTCTCAGTTCCGTTCACCACCTGGCGTTTTGACAATCGTCTGCATAAGGAGGCTCTACCCAGCAGACGATAACCAACCTCTTGTTCTGCATCCCATATTACACAAATCCAATATCCATAGCACACGCAGTCCTTTATATTGAATTATTCGATATTTCTTTCAAGAAATGTTGTGTTTTCTGTTTCACCATGGTCGAATTGATTTCTTGCGAAAGCCCCAATAATCAATTTGATACTTTTCTCAAAATGGAGGACGAGAAAGGCGTTTGGCAGCTCAACTGAGCTCTTAGACACTTTTTCTCCCAAAGAAAGGCGTTTAACTTCATGATAAAGTTAGAAATGAGCGGAGTCAAGTACTCTTCAGTCATTGGATAAACAACTTCAAGAAAAATCAAGAAAATTAAGCCTGCGTTTCTGACAAACTTCACCACAAGGTCTGTCACGTTTCCTCCAGCCTGACATGACTAGCCAAAGGAGAGATACATGTACATGTATGGTGACAGTTACAACGGGAATCTTACAGGGGTCTTACTGTTAACTGAATTGTGGTACTTCTTCGATGACACATCCAATAAAGGCTGCTTATTGAAATAATACAAAAAAGATCAAGATGAGTGACATTTGGGAAAACGAGGAGGTCCAGGATAAACTGAGCAAAATGAAGCCGGAGATGCAGGTGAGACCCTTTGCTTTTAATTTTCTGCCTCTTTTCTTTTTAATTTTAAGTTTCTTTAAATTTCTCTTGCCTCCTTGATTTAAATCAACGGTTAAAGTATGGCACATAAAGCAGGATTAATATTACTTTTTTACAATGTGTACATGTATTTGCATAACGTGATAGTTACACTAAAACATTTACAGCTGTGGTAAACCTGAAAAACGGTATTTTTAATTTTAACGATAGTTTAACCGTTAAAACAATAAAAAAGAACAATAATTAAGAGGTGACAAGACAGATAATGGGCCCCTTGTTGAGACTTTTAAGACCCAAACCACCATGAATTGTATCGATTTATGTGTTTGTTCGCGCGTGCATGAGTGGGAGAATGCCTTGCTGTGCGTGCACGGTAACTTGACATGTTTCTGTTTTTTCTCATATTTTTTCTTCGTTCAGTTTACATTCATGTGGCAAACTTTTTAAAACTCTACCTCCCCTGAGAGAGTATTCGTCTGTGGTCACCTGGGCAGAGAAAAACACCACTATTTTACTCTGCTGAACTTGTAAAAGAATAAAAAGTGGATATAAAATCACTGACATACTCTAGCGTGCGCGCACATGCTTACGTTTCTTGGCCTGTTCCGAGAAAAACATCTCGCGCAGTGTATTTAACTTATTAATTAATTGCTTATGAAAGAAGACTAGCTGGACGTGACCTTTCTCGAAAGAACGCTGGAATTTACGTTCTGTCCACATTCGTGCATAATTTATCTCATCCTGTGTGCCACATATAAGAATGCATCTCACTAAATACGTGTACCTTTTGTATGTCTATCTGATAATATCAGCGGAATTTTATTTGTTGTCGGAATTAGTAAATGATACGTTACGGTCTTGGTAGCAAACTCTAAAGCGTGGCTTTATATATATTTCAATTGTGACCGATAGTGCCTCAGTGCATTGTGACTATTAATAGTAGAGTATTTTAATACTCTTTTAAAAAAGGGTTGGGAACCTTTTCAAAGACGACGAAGATACAGCAATGAAATTCAACTTGATCAGGTTTATACTGAGCATATATTGCATGATCAAATAATTCCTTCAAGTAAATATTTATTCTGATAAATTTTAGATCGTGTTTCTGCGAGCGATGAGGCGTATCTACGCCAAAGAGAGCAGCAGCGTGCTCACGCAAATAGGGCACTCGAAGAAAACGGTGAAGATGATGAATGAAGACTATGAAGAATTGAAGGAGAAACAAGCCATGTTGAAGGGAGTCTTAGGTATGTTATCTTTCCTGTCCGTCCTGAATCTGGATTTAGAAATGAAGGAGGATGGGATGGGGAAGCGGATTGCTCATTTATTTATTTATTTATTTTGTGAAGGAATTATATGTTTTCATATAATTTCTGCATCTTAAAAACAATTTAAATTTATCTTTTAAAGAATACTACTTTGAAATAGTTATTATTTTAGAAAATACCTGCGTAAGAGGGCGCTTTGTATACTTGGCGTCATTTGTCGTCATATCTAAGAGGCTTTTTTTTTTAGTTATTTTGCACGTTGTCACATGTGCTTTAAATTGTGATTATCCTCAACGTTCCATATCAATAGAGTTTTTGTTGACTCAGGCATGCGAAGCGTTGACGGTTTAGGTTTAAATAAAAAATTACGAATCAAAAAAAGAAAATAATTGTTAACACTGTGAAATGGCCTCGTTTCAGAGGAGCGCCGAAAACCGGATTTACAGGACATCCTGTCGGACAACACGAAAGCGAACGCTGAGACGACAGGAGACGAGGTGCAGGTTCTCGTGATGGAGGACGTGTCTGAAGATAAAGAGGAAAAGAAAGAAGAAAAGGAACAGGTATGAAGGAATTTCATTTAAGGGGTGTCATTCCGATATTTTTCTACAGGTGAAAGAGGTTCGAAACGAAAGTTCGTTATTGTAATTTCTTTTTTGTTTTATTTCCCTTGTGCCCCCCAAAAAGGCAAATTTTGCTTAAAATCTTATGTATATAACAATATATTGTCAACATTGAGTATATAAATGCTTCATGTTTCCTGGGCTCTAGTGCCCGTTGTCACTAATACACTAACTCACTTCTTTCTTAGCTCACCAATTTATTGTCTCATGCACTTATTAACTAATTTAATATTTAATTAACCAATTCACGTCATAACTCACCTAAGCACTTCATTATATACTCACAATATGTCTGGCATTAACCCTCCTTCACTCCCTCCCTCCCTTCCCCCATATATCACTCATTCATTACCCATTCATTAATTCACTAATCCATAAATTCATTCATTCATTCGTTCATTCCTATTCTTAATTTATTGTAGGCGCCGCCACCAAAGGTTAAAAAGATCAAGAAGGTCCTGTGGGTGAAGACCAAGACAGTCCCAGTAGACGCCCAGGTCATCTCGTCCATGAGCGCGCTCATCACAGCGGCAAATGCCTTTAAGAAGAAAAAGAAAGAGAAAAAAGCTACAGATCTCGATACGCCATCTGACCCCACAACGAACGCGGCTGTATCTTCAGCAACGGAGCAGGTACATGCGCTACCAGTCTATTTTGAGTAAACCTGTATCATCTTTATTTTTCTGTGATATAATTTTTTTTTATTAGAGAGCCGCTTGTTAAATTGGCATAAAATTACTTTACTTGAAATTTTCACGTTGTTGCGCTCGAGATGAAAATTGGGGTTAATTGTTTCATATAGTATATTCATATATTGTCTTCGTTATATCGGGTAGTCAATAAGACAAAACGTGTGAATGGCATTTTATTGTGGATGCCAATACTGTTTATAGGCCTAATTGTGGATTCAAAGTGGGTTTTTGAACGATAACGTTGAACATCTGTAACATTTTTGCCAGATTTCAAATGTGAAATCTCATATTTTTCAGACAACTCAGCCAGCGATTGCTGTTGCGCCGGCAAAACATAACGAAATGAAGACAACGGCAATCATCACTCCGGTCACGACCAACTCAAACAATACTGTTTTGCCAACTAAAAACAATTCAAACGCCCAAAAAACTGTCGAGCCAGATGCAAAATTAGGCGCCCCTGTTTTTAGTGACATTACACCTGTGGAAATTTCAAAAGAAACAGTGACAAATAATTCGCAACATGGTGAAGCTTCTTCAGAGGTGAAAACTGCCACGAGGAACGATATTGACGTCACAACACCTACTGACGTCACAATTGCGGCTACATCTGTAACAGAACATAATAGTGACGGTCAAATCGAACCCAATGGTCAAGAGGCAGGAGGGAACGATTCTACCACGGTGACCAGCACAATTCAAAGTAAAGGAGAACCTCAGTTGAATCCATACCAACCGCTACCAGGAATAGGCGGGAAAAACCCGTACCCAGACGACACAGCTACTCCGCAAGATGGCGCTGAGTTAGCCGGTGAAGCCGCATCCGACGACAAGAAAAAGAAAGTGATCAAGAAGAAAAAGAAAGTCGGTGAGGCTGGTGAAAACGAAGGAGCCGACGGAGATGCCGATGAAGGGGCAGATAAGAAAAAGAAGAAAGTAAAGAAAAAGAAGAAGCTGGTAGCTGCTGCCAATGCTGTCATAGCAACGGGGATAACATCGGGTGCCGAACCAGTGATACCAGCAGAGCCTCTTTCCAATGGCGAGGTGAGATTCTGTTCTTTGTTTTTGTCATCCCAGCCACTTTAGTATGGAAGTCGGGAAATGGTAATTCTTGACAGTCAAACATTTGTATTGACCTATTATTTGATATAGTAGGCCCAATCGATTAATGGTGTATTAATTTGAAATTCTTATGTTACAGCTATAATGGGCGATTGCTTGAACTTCATTTTTACATACCTTAATGCTTCATTGATATATTGTCGAAGAGCTTGTAGTCTCATGTTAATTGCTTTAGGGCAGTCCCGCCGTTCTCAGTCATTCCTGAAACTTATAGCTTCCCACAGTCAGTGAAAAGGTCAGAGCCATTCTGGCCCGCCATTTTTCTATTTATATAACGTTATTTTTCATATAGACCCCATTTTGTATTTTACAGGATGCACCAAACACAAACTCTGAACAAGAACAACAAGGGGAAAATAAAAACAAAGGAGAGCCCTTTTTGGTAAATGCGACGCTTTTAATATTTAGAAAATAATGATATTACTGAAGATCCCAACATACGTAATTCAATAATACAGCGTATTGACCGGATATTTGAAGACATAAACAGATTGCTATTTAGACTAAAGGTTTTACAATTGATGGCAGGGGTAAGGGCCCTTTTTTAAAAAAGAATCATTTATCAAATTAATCTGTAAAAAGGGGAATTGAACACCTAGTTTTATATCATTTAACTTATAGGATGAATTATTTAACATAATATTGTATAACTTTTCAGCCAACTATTGGGACTCCAAAGACTGCAAACAAACATAGACCACAGTCGTCAGTTGTTCCCCTTGTAAGTAGAAAGCCATGCGTATAATCCCAAACTTTCGGGATTTTAAATAAATTTTTAATTCGCTTACATGTATAGATATACGTGCGCATGCATTGCACACACGTGCTCGCGTGCGCATCACCACTTCTTTTCAAGCGTATAACTAAGTCTTGGAAACGTAACAGATGAAAATTTAATGTGTGCGATTTGAGTGAGTCTCAAGCTCTCACTTTTTAATTGGCAAGTGCTTTATACATATACAATATTTTACAATTCAGCCGCAGATTGACGCCACAGGGACAGACGCGGGAGGCGATGAAAAGGTAAGGGTTGTTATAACATGAATAAATTATGAATAACATTATAAATAACCTTCATAGTTTAAACGATAAAAGAAATGTGAAACTTACATCTAGCCATCTCTCTTAACAAAATAGTCTCCCAAAAATTATAAATCACAAAACGAAAACACGAACGCACAAGTGAGGCATATTTTGTTCAATAATTAACACGAAGAATTATTTCTAATCATTGTTTTGTCTTAGATACCTATACCACTTTTTGGGAGTCTCAGACAGACAAAAAAGTGTCTGATGTCGACATTTTCCCTTCAGGCTAACAACATTATTTTACAACCATTAAAAGATATTGACCAATATATAAAAAAACTTATTCCAAAAAGAAAATGTAAAAAAGTCGAAACAAGGATTGTCGGACTCGTTGTTGACTTGTTTAAGGCTGTAAGCAATATTGATTTAGAGACACCGGCCTCAAATATTGATTCCAAATGGATTTTGACTTACAGTAGGCCTATACAATACTGCACAATGCTAACGTGTACCCATTTGAATTTTTTTTATGTGCAAAAATTTACAAATATACTTGAGAGGCTTAGATGAAGTGACTAGTGTAGACATATTTGTAGAGGTGTATTTTTTCTTTTCTTGTACTAGAAAGCAGAAAAACATTTTAGACGTGTTTAGAGTAGCTTTTATTCCAATTTCCTTTTTCCCAAAACAGAAGAAAAAGAAGAAGAAAAAGAAAGTAAAAGCCGGCGCCAGTGAGGTACATAACTAAAACATGTGCAGTGGTTGAGCTTTTGAAGTGATACATGTTGTCGCTTGTTTGATAAATGTTTCATTGGGGGTATGTTTTTCAAAAGGCTCACGTTTTGATGTTCATTTCATTTCATTTAGAGAAGGAATTTTGGGCCCACTGTTACTTTTGCGACAGTGGACCAAAATTCGTTTTCCATGCTGTTGCAAGCTCCGTGCAACTGGGGCGTAATTTCGGATAGCCAACTACGCCATGTCGACTTGGCACTGTTCTTTATAGTTTTGTCTTAAGACCTTTCTGACTAAAAGAAAATTAGTCGGCTAAAATTCTCACAAAACTTTGCCAAGACTTTTGCCATTTTGTGGAGCTGGCGCCAGAAATCGTGGGTAGTGGAGATGGACCAATGCGGATGGGGAAGTACTTGCATGAGAACTCTGATGTTTCACGCTTTAAATGTGCTTTCGCTTGTTCATTCAGTGGTTTATTGCTGCATGCTGTCATGTTTTGTGTATTCCTACATATGCTCCACGTGGGAGTGTCTTGAGCTTTCTGCGCGCATGCCCAATACCACCCGTATAACACTGCTTTCCAGGACGCTTTGGCAACGCAGACTTTCAAAACGTGATTATGATAATCAGGTTGGCCCAATGCAGGTTTCCGTGGTGTTTTTGTTTTGCAGAGAATATTACATGTAATCATTTGTGAAAAGTGTTTTATATACCTGCATGAGAGTGACTGGTGTCTTCCGTTTGTTTCTATCCAAACCTTTTCTGCACACGTCCCGTTATAGACCCTGCCACTTTATGCCCCTATTTCACACAGACCACGAATCTCACGAATGGCCATGAATTGACAAGTTTCACGATTCGTGGTTGAATCGTAATCAGTTCGTGAAGCTCTTAACAGATTCGTATATATATTCGTAGTCAGTTCTTATTTTCTTGACCAACAGGAATTGGTGAAAAAAAAACTATGATGCCCCTTTTTCACACAGACCACGAATCCAACGAATCGCCAGGAATTGAAAATTTCAGGATTCGTGGTTGAATCGTAATCAGTTCGTGAAGTTCTTAACAGATTCGTATATAATCGTAGTCAGTTCTTGCAATTCTTGATCAATCGGGAATTCGTGACAAAAATTTTGAGCTGTTCAAAGTTTTGGCCACGAACTCCCGATTCCAAAAAATCGTAGTGAATTTCTGGACAATATTCGTGCGATTCCAACCGAATCCCACGAATATTCGTAATACTATCGCACCTGTATCGTAACTGAATCGTAAAGCGTTTCGAATTAGAGCAGAAAATTGGCAAAATCTCACGATTCCAGCCGAATCCCACGAATATTCGTAACAATATCGTACCTGTATCGTAACTGAATCGTGAGCGTGTCGAATTAGACCAGAAAATTGGCAAAATCTCACGAATCCTTACTCTGTGTGAAATAGGGGCCTTACCAGTTTTTAATGCAGTTTTCTTATTTCGGGAACACTTGGTAACTTTAGTCAAAAGTCTTGAAAATAATGATCTACCAAACTCAAAAAAGGACGTACGTGCTGTGCTTTTGACTTAATTTAACTCGAGTTTTACTTTTTTAGTCTGAAGCCTTTTTTGCAGATTTCTAATGGCCTCAGTTATCAAGTAATTGAACACTTCATTTAAGAATTGTTTTGACGAGAAACATAATTTATGTGTCTTTATTTGTTGCAGGACATAACAGCGGTAGCAGAAATCACAGTTTTATCAGCAGAGGTAATAACAACAACAACAATAATAATAATAATAAAAATTTAGACGCCTGCCACTGAAATCTCACTATTTCTTACACAATGACTTTTAATTTAAAAACACCGACAAAAGTAATTTTTTGAAAATGAAACATCTCCCTCTCTCTTTTTTAGGCTAACACTGCCCCCGTTCTGGCTGTGTCCCACGACACCATGGCTCCCACGGTGAGTGTCCTCCCTTCTGTGCATGCGTACCCTAAAAAGCGTGTACTTTGGATTGACTTTTGATGATGTGTGCTCATTTCCTTTTTAAAATAGCTAGTTGCGTTCACCAGTAGGGCTGCGCTTGCCTTTAACCCTTTTTTGTGTTATTTTCAGGGGGCGCAGCAAGTGGTGTGATGTGATCACAAGACCGTTTTGGATGAAGCAAAGAGGGCGAATTTTTGAAAAAAAACGTCTGTCTTGGATATGTTTCATAAAAAGTCCGAAAGCTCAGACGAAGTGACTATGCCATTTCTCAAAAAGGGAAATAGAAAAATACCTCGAACTCTAAGGGAGGTTTCGTTTTAGTGGTAAACGTTTTAAGCGAAACAGTGCCGTTTACACGAACGGTAGAAAAGATACAGATATTGTATACCGATCTTTCTCGAAGGACTGACAAAAGACGCATTTTTAAACAACTTTCCTCAAGATGTGTGAAGAAAAAGTGATCATAAAGGCTAAATAAAGTAAAAACATCGTTTTCTAATGATATTCTTTTAAATGGACAGAGCGTGGGGTTATTTATTTGTATGTTATCTTAGGTCATGGAGAAAACGACATGGAATTACATTTATTTACTGTAAATATGAAAAAGCATGTAGCCTCTCTACTAGAAGGACTGCACTTTAAATATGATGATGAAGCAAATTTCCTGTATTTATTATCCCTTTTAACAACATGGTGGTTGTATTGCTTGTTATCTATATATTCCTGATAATCATAATAAAAATGAAAATTAAAAGTGTTTTAGTCGAAAAAGTCATTAACTTCCTATTTCAAAAAGGTAATGCTTTTTAAAAATAGCAACTGATAATGGGAAATAAAGCTATTTCTACGATATGTTTGTATTTACTATTGATTATCTATATTAAGTCTAATCCGTCGATTTATGTGGTTTTAAATGAAGCATGGTATAATACCAATATTTAAGGAGAAGTCCGCATTTAATTTGTGCAAGAATTATGAGCTATGTTAACCCGCAAACATGGAAAACAAATAATCTTTATGTTATGAGCATGTTGTTTGAAAATTACCACGCACTTATGCAAAGACACTCACACTCGCAAACACTTGCAAACGAACGCACATGCGTGCGCGATGGTTTGTTTGGCAGTCAGTTGAACCCTATGTCACAGTAATACTACCGTGACACTGCGTATTGTCTTATATGAAGTCAAACATAATAACAGCATTAAGCTATACCGTATACAGTGGAAGTGCCAACAACATTTAAGACTTGAATAATTCAAAATGTTTGTGCGGCAGAGAACCACGGAGAAAAATCCAAGGGAACGCCTTCACCTGTTACAACTACACGTATACAATCTAACGTTACCAGTGTTCTATGAAGGGTTAATTGACTAATGAAATTTTCAGCCAATCGATCCGCGGGTCATTTTTTTCGTTCGACCCTGGTAAAACTTCAAAGTGTTTTACAATTGATTTCAACTCCCTTTGTCAAATAAATGCAACTGCGCTACCGAGTATGATGCGACTTGCTAACATTATTGGTATTTCAAAGCCTGTCAGGATCCGAGAAGCAATGGTTGCTAATCGTCGTCTTAAAACACTCAGGCAAACAAACAGAGTCAGAAAATGGTACGATTAGAAAAAATTAAGAAATAACGAGCACAGCGAACGGGAACTACTGGTGCTAAAATCAGGGAAATCACATAGTCTGAGAAATACATTATCTGCGCTTTATTGAAGTATTTATTCAGAAGGATCTTTGGGATTTCTCATCGGAGAGAGTCACCTGGGATGTGCTTCTAGCTTTTTTTCCCAAGTCTCCAATTTTCGTGTCGGCATGACTGAACTGGGTTTATTGTATGCGTTTGCTCGTCTTCCAACAAAACCACTTACCAGAAAGCGAGTTATGGTGCTTTATTCAGTTTACGGTGAGCATATCAATCTTAATTTTTTATCTTTTTGAAAGGAAACAACAGCAAACATAAGTTTTGACTACGATAACTTATAATCAGTAGTATTTTTGGTTCTTAAATATCGTGTTATCTTAAATTTTGATCTTTTGCTTAAATTTGTCTAAACTAAAATATTAGGCACGTTAAAAAATGGTAACCGCCCTGTTCTTTAGTTTTATTATAAATAGACTAATCTTTTTTTAGTCAACATATTCATTCGCAGCAGAGATAAGATTCGTAAAAGATAAATATTAAATGACAAATAAAAACGAAGGATTAGTATCTTGAATTTTATGCCCAATTGTTTCTTAAACACAAACTCATTACATTAAAATATCTAAATAGGAGTAAATAGCCACT